ACAAAACAAAAAAAAAAACAAAAAACGAAAGACGGCGAGGAGAAAGTTCGTCTACGTCTATTCCTTTGATGATGAGGATAAGACTTATAATGATGAGGTTAATGGCGATGATCATAATAGCTTAACGAATATTGGCTATTGTAATGACAATGGTAGGATGGATAATATATATATATTTTTTTAAAGCTAAAAAAAAAAAAACCTGACGAAGTGGCTTGTTCATTGCTAATAACAACAATAATAATAATGAAAATGATACTACTACTTTTACTAATGATGATTATAATAGTGATAAGGATCATAGTAATAACGATAGTGATGATGGTAATAATGAATACTGATGATGATAATGATAAATAATGATCATGATTCTAATGAATAATGACAACAAAAGTGCTAATAACAGCAATAATGATTATAATAACCACAAATCATTTGCGGCATCCGTCGGCCATTAGATCTTCCCTCCTTTTCTCCTTCTTCCCCTTTTTCTGCTCTCCCTTTTTTACTCAAGTTCCCTACTTCTCCCCCTTCCTTTCCCGTTCCCTCACTTCCTACCATCTTAACTTCCCCCGAGGGTTGTCGTGGAAATAATAAAAGTGCATAAACTGACGGTCTAACAACTTCAGGGAAATGTACTTGCCTCGATTAACAAGAATATGTAATATATAATATATAACGACAACAATAATAACAATGATGATGATGCTAATAATAACAACAAAAATAATGATAATAATGATAATGATAATGATGACATTGATAGTAACAAAAGCAATAATAATAATGGTAATGATAATCGAAATAATTATGATAATGATAATAACAGTAATAATAATAATGATAATAATAATAATGATAATAACAATAACAAAACCAATACCTGTAAGAAATACTAAAGCTAAATAAATAACGAAATATTCAGAAGAAACCAGAATCAAATAAGCCAAATAAGGAAACAGCAGAAGGTGAATAAAAGCAAGCAAGGAAAATAAGGCGCTGGAGGAGAGACAGAGATAAGGAGACGCATGAAACACACTATTCAGCTGTGGTTTATGAAGGTAAGGAAATTTGCATGCAGTGATAGAGCTCCGAGCTAGAGGGGGGGCGGGGGTAAAAGGGGGGGGGAGAGTAACGGGAGGGTAAGGGAAGGGTGAAGGAAGGGAAGGGGAGAGGAAAGGGAAGGGTGAAGGAAGGGAAGGGGAATGGAAAGGGAAGGGTGAAGGAAGGGAAGGGTGAAGGAGGAAGGAATGGCCCGAGAGAAAGGGAAGGGGAAAGGAAAGGGAAGCGGTTAGGAAAGTGTGGGGGGAGGTGTGGGGGGGGGGGGGAGGAGGGAAGAGAGGTAAGACGGTAGGAATGTTAATAATTAAAGGAAAGGTTAGGGAAAGGAGGAGTAAGAGAAGGGACAAGAAAAGTGGGAAGGTAACTAAGGGAAGGGAAAGGAAAGGGGAAAGGATAGAAAGGGGGTAAGGGAAAGGTAGAGGAGGTGGAAGAGGGAAGTGATGGTAAAGGACGAGGTAAGAAGGACAAGGAAGAAGAAGAAGGGAGGGGCTAAGGGGGAAGGAGAAGGCAAGAGAGGGTAAGGAGAGTAAAGAAGGAGCTAGAGAGGTAAGAGAGAATGAGGGGAGAGGAGAGAAAGGGAAAGGAAGAGGGGAGAGAGCGTAGAAGAAGCATGAGTCATCGGGGTAAAAGGAATGGGGGTGGGGGGGTGGGTTGTAGGGGGGTCGACATGAAAATTATATGACGGGAAAACTTTGCGTATACATGAGAGGGGATGATGGAGAGAGGGATATGCAGAGGGGGTAGTTAGAAAGGGAGAGAAGTGGAGAGAGAGACGAGGGAGAAAGGAGGAGAGGGAGAGAGAGAGAGACAGACAGACAGAGAGAGAGAGAGAGAGAGAGAGAGAGAGAGAGAGAGAGAGAGAGAGAGAGAGAGAGAGTGAAAAAGAGAGAGAATGAGAGAGTGAGAGTGAAAGAAGGTGCGAGTGAGAGAGAGAAAGAGTAAGAGTAAGAGAATGAATGAAAGATAGATAGATAGATAGATAACTAGACAGATAGACAGATAGAGATAAGTAGATAGCTAGGTATATATACACACACACACACACACACACACACACACACACACACACACACACATATATATATATATATATATATATATATATATATATATATATATATATATATATAGAGAGAGAGAGAGAGAGAGAGAGAGAGAGAGAGAGAGAGAGACTGAGAACGAGGAATAAATCGGAAGAAAATGAGAGGAGGAAAAACGGAGACAGAGAGAGAGAAAGAGGGGGGAAGAAGAAGAGACAGAGATCTGGAGTGAGAAAAGGAAAGGTTGGGGCGCTCGGCTGATAGGCAGATAACCAGATTGGAGAACTCTTTATCTCTCTCTCTCTCTATCTCTCTCTCTCTCTCTCTCTATCTATCTATCTATCTTTATCTCTATCTCTCTATCTATCTATCTCTATCTCTCTATCTATCTCTATCTGTATATCTATCTATCACACACATACACACACACACACGTATGTGCAAGTTCGCC